CTACTAAAAATATAAAAATTAGCTGGGCATGGTGGCACACACTTGTAGTCTCAGCTACTCAGGAGGCTGAAGCAGGAGAATTGCTTGAACCCGGGAAGCAGAGGTTGGAGTAAGCCAAGATTACGCCGCTGCACTCCAGCCTGGTGACAGAGTGAGACTCTGTCTCAAAAAAAAAAAGCACAGAGCAGGCTATTTCGGAGATGCCCTCCAAGAACACTGGTGTGTGAGGCAAATGGGAAACTTAAGTGAGGTGATGAGGTGCTCCTTCTTGCTGTGGTGGTGCTGCTGCTGCCACCACCACTCACTCCTCCTCCCTACCCGTGGGCAGTGCAGGGTGTGTGTGTGTGTGACAGCAGGCCACATCCCAGAGCCCATCCCACTCATGTCTCTGTTTCCTTGCAGGCCCTTTGGACAGGCACTTCGGCCCCTCCTGGACTCCATTCAGATCCAGCCTCCAGGAGGGAGCTCCGTGGGCAGACCCAATGGCCAGAGCTAACAGGACTTCCTGGGACCGCCCTGCCTCACCAGGGCTTTTCCTTTTTAAACAAAACAAACCCTACCAGATTTCTATTTTATAATTTTACATCAGAGCTAACAACCAAGGGACGGCTTTTTAAATTTCCCAGGGAAGGAGATTGTCAGGCCGCATGTAGATAATGCTGCTAAAAAACAGAACAAAATGCCACCCCTTCTAATGGTATTATACTAATTTATTAAGGCCGTCTTGTCTCTGAGTTCACTTGTGACGCTGTTTCCTAAGCGTCCTCCACACTGGAGAAAGGGAGGGGCTTTGTTTAAACAGAAAGCAAGAGGCACGGTTTGGGGGAGCCCCAACCTAGAACTCTTCCCAGAGAACACTCACGCTCTACCCAAGTCGCCACCACTTGTGGGGCCCAGGTGAGTTTTAGAACATCCATGGCCTGGAAACAATTACTCTAGCGTTAAATGAACCAAAGGATTTGGTGCACGTGGGACCAGTTTCAGGATGACTAACCCAACCTAAGTGAACTCTTTAGCCACGACCCTCTTCACCTTCCCTTCCTTACCCCAAGCAAAGCCAGTGCTGGAGCAGCCGCTGCCTCAGGATCAAGGAAGTAACAGCAAGTATCAGACCGGAGAAAACAGGATAAAGCCATTCCTCCTTCCACCTAGATGGATTGCCAATCCTCTGCCATCAGTTTTGGGAAACCTGCCTCAGTGCCCCTGAGGCTGCTCTTCCTCAGCATAGCTGATGTGTCATAGTTGATCAGGTCTGGGCTGAAGCAGCAGAGACCCAGGCCTTTTTTCTGTAGTAATGATGTAGGTTATTTGCAGTCTCTGCAACTACCACCCAGACCAGTATGCAGAATTCAGCTGGGGACCAGGAGATAGGATTCCCTGCTCTAGGAAAATACCTTTTTTTCCTGAGACTGAGTCTTGCTCTGTCACCCAGGCTGGAGTACAGTGGCACAATCTCGGCTCACTGTAACCTCCCAAGTAGCTGGGACTATAGGCACATGTTACCACGCCCAGCTATTTTTTTAAGTTTTAATAGAGAAGGGGTTTCACCATGTTGGTCAGGCTGGTCTCTAACTCCTGACCTCAGGTGATCCACCCACCTCACCCTCCCAAGGTGCTGCGATTATAGGCATGAGCACTGTGCCCGGCTGGAAAATACCTTTGATGTAGAAAGAATACATCACCTCACCTGCCTGTGAGGCCAGGCACGGTGGCTAAAGCCTGTAATCCTAGGACTTTGGGAGGCCAAGACAGGCAGATCACTTGAGGTCAGGAGTTCAAGACCAGCCTGGCCAACATGGTGAAACCCTGTCTCTACTGAAAATACAAAACTTAGCAGGGCACAGTGGCACATGCCTATAATCCCAGCTACTCAGGAGGCTGAGGCAGGAGAATCACTTGAACCTGGCAGGCGGAGGTTGTGGTGAGTTGAGATTGTACCAGTGCACTCCAGCCTGGGTGACAGAGCGAGACTCCATCTCAAAAAAAAAAAAAAGAATGATGTAGAATCAAGGTGGCAAGAAAATTTAGATTCATTTCTGATAGGGACTTTCCCTTATCCTAAATGTGTTTTGAAGGCACACCTTATTTCCGTTGTCATTCTGATTTTAGGGAAGCAGGTTGGGACGTGACTGGGCATTTTCCTAATGACTTGCTGCTAGGAGTTGATAGGCAGGGAACAGTCTGAGAGTCTCTAATCCAGAGAGACTTTCAACTTGCAGATTCCTTCTCTTCGTGTAGACGTCCTTTAGTTAGATTTTGAGAAGGTGCATGTGAAGAAGGGACTCAGAGCTGCCAGGTGCCCGAGTCTCAGCTCTGACATCCTTGGGTCCCTTCTGCCACAACTTCCTGCCACTTTGTGGACTTGAATTATGTTGCGTCTTCCTGGAAGTCTGGCCTGCAGCAGGGGGCCTTTCCTCTCCAAAAAGCTGCTGCTCACTTTTGGCCCCATCTGCTGCTGTCTTTGCCACTAGCCATAGCAGTTGCCATCATCAGAGTCTCAGCTAAAGATGTCATTCTGCCTTAGTGTTTGCCTGCGACCTGACCGGGGTATGTCTAGTTGGGATGTCAAGTGACATTTGAAAACTTGAAGATTAGAGGCCAAATGAATGAACAGTTTAATTCTTCTCAAGACCCACTGATTTGCCAGTGTCCATGGAAATCACAAATTAGAGCAGAAACTAGCAGGGACTATTATATAATGGTGTTCTACTGGCAGACATGGGCCCAAGGAGAAAGAATTTGAGAGGCTGGGTTTCTTCTGGGAGGGCAGCAAGTTGGTCTAGGCCAGGGCTTTGTTTCCCACCAGTGTTGTTCCCTTTTCCAACTTGCCTGGCCCAGCTCGGTCTTTCAGGCTCCTGCTCCAGACCTCTCTGCCTGGGGTCTCCCCTCCATCCAGGGGGTTCTGGGCACCACAGCTCCTTTTTTTTATTTCTTCTCTCCCAGATCCAGTTTCAGCTGGTTTGTTTCTCCCAGCAGGCACACTGAGGCCCAGGGGCAGCTCCCCTGAGAGAATTTTAGTCATTCATTTTCTTGAACAGCGCACCGCTTTATACTAGCAGCCATTTGTGCCATTGCCTGTGCCCTAGGGTTTGTGGGGAGAGATCAAGGGATCAGTGAGCAGTTTTCCCAGAGCTCCATGGGAAGGCAAGCTCTCCCTCCCCTGACGGGAGGCCCACTGTCACCAAATGTGGAAACCCAGGCTCGGGCTTCAACTGCCCACCCCCATCCTCACATTTCTGTCTGTCCCAGTATCTCAGGAGCATTCTCATTGTGGCCGGCTAACTCCACCTGGATGTGAACAGGCAAGCAGAGTGGGAATGAGTCACGTACTTATATTGCACACTGGACACCTCCCTAGAGGTCCATTGGTTTAAAGGGATAGGGAAGGGGGAGGGATGAGACCATCACCCCCGCCCAGAAATAAATCTGGTATCTGAGTTTTCTTTATGCCCTCGAGTACTAATAACTGTGTCTAGTATGGAGGTGTTTGCTGGTTTTCTTTTGGTGTTTTTTCTAATGCAATAAACTCATTTCTGCCTGCTGCATTTGTATGGTCCCTGAATCAGGTCTGGATGTGTGTCCAATATGAAGCAACCCCAGCCTTCTGCGTGTCCCTCAGAGCTTAACTTTGTGGGGTCTGGATGTGTGTCCTGTGCATGGTTGTGAGCCTGTGGATAAGAAGTGATTATAACAGGGAAGGATGTCTGAATTTTACCATTGGTTTATAAAGATGGGGAAAGGGCCCAGAGAGAATATCACTTGCCCAAGGTCACCTTGCAGCTGGTGCAGTCCAAGGCCTTGTCTGGTAACTTCAAATTCTGAAGCCTTCCTCTAGCCATCAGGAATGTCTGACCTCACTGAAAAGTGTTCACTTCTGGTTTCAACTTGGCTCTAGGCTGGGTCTGTGGCTTCTCATGCCCAAACAGGCTGTAGCTGAGAAGGCAGGCAAGGAGCCTAGCAGGGGCCTGACATACCCCTAATTGTGAGCCCTTGACCACAGAGCCCAGCTGCTCTGGAAGGAGGCAGAGAGTCTTGGACGAGGTTGCCCCACTGGCTCCCGGGATGGAGAGCCAGGCAAGGTCATGCTGCAGTGAGAGTGATGGATGCCAGGTAGCGCTGTGGCCCCACACACCAGGCCCAGCCCACTGCTCAACACCTAATGCCATGCTGGTCTTTGATACCCCTGGCCACCTCAGTAAGTTTGTCCAGCTCCCCACACATCTCAGCCCCTGCACAGCCAAGCTCCTTGTCATTTATCAAGGCCCTTCTCAATCTTGTTCTTGAAAACCCTGGACCTACCCCACACCCTGGTGCCAATGCCAGTCCCAGTCCATAATCACTTCTGGTGGTTTCACACCTCCAGGCCTTGGTTCACTCTTTTCTCCACCGGAATCCCCTTTCCCCACCCCTTGCTCAGTGCTGAAGGCTCAGCTAGCATGCCCTCTGACCCGTCCCCCACCACAGCTGACTCCTTGCTCCCATGTGTGCCTCTGGTGCACTCCCACCAGCCCAGTACCTCTCAGGGCAGGGCCTGGCATGGGGTGAGCCTCAGACTCTGAGAAAGTAACCAAGGCCTTCCCCTCTCTGGGCCTCAGTTTCTTCATCTGGAGAATGGAAATTATGGGTTGGATCCTCTCTAAGTTCCTCCCAGTGTGACTCTGCTCCCCACCCCTGGCTTGCGAGGTCAGGAGAGAGACTTGCTCAAGTTCTCACAGCCCTGGGCTGAGCTCTGACCTGCAGAGACCACTGACGCCACCTGTCAGGCTGCCACCCCCGTCCCCCACCCCCAGGTGGAACAGTCCTGTGGCCTGGGCCATATCTGTCCCCATTGACTTTGGCTGAGAGAGCCCCAGAGGGCCTGAGCCAACCCATCAACAGCTTCCACCTCCTACAAAGCCATCTGAGCATGTGTCCTTCAGCTCATTTAGATTCATTAGACATGTTTATTGTGAAAACAATATAAGCACTGCAGGCATTTTGAAAGTTTTAAAACCAGGCCAGATGCAGTGGCTCACACCTGTAATGCCTGCAGTTTTGGAGGCTGAGGCTGGCAGATACCTGAGATCAGGAGTTTGAGACCAGCCTGACCAATATGGAGAAACCCTGTGTCTAATAAGAAAAACACAAAATCAGCCAGGTGTGGTGACACATGACTGTAATCCCAGCTACTCAGGAGGCTGAGGAAAGAGAATCACTTGAAATCAGAAGGCAAAGGTTGCGGTGAACTGAGATTGCACCATTGCACTCCAGCCTGGGCAACAAGAGTGAAACTCCGTCTCAAAAAAAAAAAAAAAATCCAACATCCAGTCTCCACCAGCCTCAGCACACAGCACACCTCCCCTGCTGCCCCTAGGCTTCTTAACTACACAACCTTTAGGAGGGTGTTGACCCATTTGTAGATGAACAACCTCAGAGAGTGGGAGGGACCTGCCCAAGGTCACTAGTGTGAGGAGAGCTCCAAGAACTGTCAGCCTGACTGTAAACCCCACTACACAGAGGCTGCCCCTTGGGCCTGGACCACCCATACACAACAAGTCACATACCAGGTAGAAAAATAGTATTGACAGCCCCAATGCTTATTGGACATGTTGACACATGGCCTCCTACCAGTAGCCAGGAGCCAGGGAAAAGCCTGGGCTTTGGCAAAACAGGACTGAGGAGGAATCTTGCCTGTGATGTATGACCCTAGGAAAGCCACTTTACCTCTCTGATGTCAGAACCTACCTCTGGAAATTGAGCATAAGGGTACTCTCTTTAGAGATGTATTGGGAAAAGTAAGTGAAACACCCAAACCAAACATGAAAGTCACTAACCGCCAAGCTTCGGCCACATGTCTGGCCCACAAGCACCCAGGGTCTTCCCTTCATAGCAGTATCCTGCCAGGTTCAGCTCTTAGTCCACCTCATTCAGTCCTGGCTTCCTCTGGGTCCCTCTAAGTCACCCTTCTGGCCAGTCTTCCCTCTCCCCAGTACTGCTCTTCTCCCCAGGGCCTCCCCTGGTCCCTATCTGAGCACCAGTTGCCAGGGATGAGCCTTCCTCTTAAAGGGACATAATGGTGGCCATAGGGATTACCCCCTACCTGGTCCTCCTAGGTCTGTACCTCAGGGCAAAACATTCTCCCTCTCTGGGTTTCAGTGGCCATATCATGTGGAAAGGGTTGTGATGAGAATTGAGGAAGGGATGGTAGGAAAGGCATTTGTAAGAAGCAGCCCATTTGTTAAGGGGCCAAGGGTGCTTATTTTTCTTTTCAGAAAGGTAGATCAGGTCCATAGGAGATAAAAGCCCCTCCTGCCCAGTGAGCCACACTCCAGACCTTCTGGATCCCAGCACTAAGGGTGGGGCCTAGGAATTTGCACTTAACCTGTTTCTAGGAATTCTTCAACAATGGAAC